TCCTCAAACAGACACACACAGCTGTTGGTACCTGTGTGCCCAACTTGATATTCACAATGGGCTCGCATTGCCGCTGTGGAATTTTGGAAATGTTTCAGCTGTCCGTCATGATGATATGCAGAAAAGAGGACACACAAGTCCACCTTGCTTTTCAAAAGTGTCAAGTGGATGGGTGGGGTTGGGGGGGGGGGTATCTGAAAAGCAGGAGGCACTGGGGTGGGGGTGCATGGAGCCACTCACGGAGTCAGGGTCCTAGAGGTCGATGCTTAGGTGAAAAAAAAAGATCTTTCTGCCCGGAGAAGAAAAGCAAGCCCCTCCTCCTTTCTAACTCTCCCTAAAACTCCATCAGTGTCACCTCTGCCCCCCCCCTCCAACCCTTCCCACCACACCACGTTTCAAAGTGTGGCCACATGAATGGCTCCATTGTTGATGGCTGAGGGTAGAAAAAAAAAAAAGCCAAGATGCGGAGTCAAAGGAAGCTCAAATGTAGCTCAGGATTTCGTTTGGACTGAAGAGTTCATCCGGGAATTGGAAAACACAAAAAAAATCTATGTCTAGCTATCTATATACATTGTATCTCCATGTCTATCTATCCAGCTAGCTAGCTATCTAGCTAGCTAGCTAGATGGATAGATTACGGTAGCTATGCGGCTATCTGGCTATCTAGCTATCTATCTCTCTATCTAGGGAGTCCAACAAACACAAATGCAAGTTACATATTGAACAAATAATTTTCCAAACACGTTCTGAGTGCATAGAATGGAATTTGTCTCAAAAACTCCCAGTTCAGATTAAAAAGTAAAGGAATGAAATCAGTTGTCTTGCAACCTTTTCGTTTTCAAAGTTACGCATTGGCAAAGTGAGCATTTCGTTCAAGTCCACACATGGCTTGGTTTTAAAAAGTGTTGTCGGGGATGAGTTTAAGATGCCGGGGAAATAAATCAACTTCCTGTCCCACGATGGATGCAAGTTGCGTTTTGTCCAGGGTGGTCCACGGTCGCTGGTAAGACAATGTACAATGTAGCGTAACGCAATCAATTCCAGGATGGTTCCTCTTTTGGCTTTTTTTTCTGAAATTATTCAACTTTTAATTTTCCTCGAGTCCCGCGGTTCCACCGTGTCGTCATCAAAATCTTTTGACGTTTTCCTGTCGTCAATGAAGCCGCTTCATTATCTTCTTTTCAGAAAAGCAAAGGTGCACAAATCTGACTTGACTCGCTTCCCATCCTCTCCAGGTTCCGAGACGATAAGGGCTACGTCCTCTACCCTCAGATCGGGGACCGGCTGGACCTGATCTGCCCTCCGCTGGACACGGCCCGCTCCACGCCGGAGTACGAGTTCTACAAACTGTACCTGGTGTCGTCGCGGGAGCAGGCGGACCGCTGCGAGGTGACGGGCCCGCCCAACATCGTACTGACGTGCGACGAGCCCGTGCGGGAGCGCCGCTTCACCATCAAGTTCCAGGAGTTCTCGCCCAACCTGTGGGGCCACGAGTTCAAGAGCATGCACGACTACTACATCATCGGTAAGCGCGTGCGTGCGTGACCCGATGTTATGCTTGCACGCTTGGTTTCTGATTGAGCCCGACTGTGTTTGTTTATCGTGCTGATGGTCGTTGAGATTGCCAGGGCGTGTTGTTGGGCAGGGGTGGGAGCGAGTCTTAACCCTCGCGTTTGGTTGGCTTTATTTGGGTCGTATATGTCCAGCTTATTTATTTTTGTCGAGATCAGACCGGCGGTTAAAGAACTGCAGCCCACATGTTTACGCATCAATCTTTCATGAAAGGTTGAAGTGACAAAGTAGCGAAATAAACTGTCTAGTAACCGGGTAACAGAGATGAATGCAGATGAATTGAGATGAATTGCTTGTGTTGGCAAAAAAAAATATAATTAAAAAAAAAAAAACACATGGGCGGAGGAGATCTTTGAAAAAATAAACACATATTAATTCGCAATCACAATATTGAGGGGACAAAAAAAAATCATCAAGTAGTGTCACTAACAAGGTTGTTATAAATAACCTAAACTAGCAAAATAACTAAAACACAAATCTAAAAAAACATTTTTGTTTGTGAAATGAAAAAAAAAACAAAAACGGACAATGCTTTAAAAAGTGGAAACTAGCTGAAACTACATCTTGCATTTACCAAACTGAATTGTAGTGAAAATGGCCTTCGTTTTGGTCTTTGCCAAGATCATACATGAACTTTCGGGGTTCGTTTTGAATGCATTTCTTTCGCTATTGCCGTTCGTCCGTACAGAAGGAGGAAGCTCAACCCGGCGTTTAAGGTTTGTAGTTGACTTAATTCCACAATACTTAGTCCTTTTTTGAAATGTTACTTATTATCTTGCGCGCAACAAATACTCAAAAACAAAAAAAAAAAACTAATACTATAAAGTAAAACTCATGAAAACTAAACTAAAACAAATCAAAAAGTAACCAACCTGCTCTAAAAAGTACTAAAAATGAACTGAATTTAAAAAAAAAAAACAAGAGTCAAAATGAAATAAAAACAATTCCACATTACCGTGTTCGGTAATACAAAAATCAAAGTTTCGTTGAGACCCGGCAATCCCCAAAAGTGGCGGCATATGACCGACTCCTGTCAAGTCACTTGGTGCGCATTGTGTCGGCGCCGTTTATTGTTATCGTCTGACTCCGCAGTCACCACAAAAGACGAAAAGCACGCTTTGCTTTGGTCGATTCGGTGCAGATTGTTTGCGTCCCTCGGGGGGACCCGGCGATGAGGTCATCAAGGCAAGTCGGGCCCGATGCGGTCGTTTGCGATGGAACGTTGCGGAAGCCGAAGGGGGCTTTGTTTTACTCTGTTTCATTTTCAGACACAATGCAAAAAAAAAAAAAAACACCTCGGGAGTGAGAGGGAGTTGTTTGGATCTCTCCTCCCACGCACCTCGCAGGCGAGATGCGCTCAGGTGCGCACACGCTATGTCTGTTCACTTCCTCTCATCTGTGGTGAGAAAAAAAAAAATGAGAGGAGGAAAGGAATTTAATAGAGTGGTCGTATGTAACCGTTAGGGCTCCATTGTTATGGTTTTCTTGAGGCCAGTGCCAATTACGCATGTTAAATATTTGGCGGGGTAAAATTCTGATAACCGAACAACTAAACCAGATAGATCCTGACTAAAATAATATTTTATTGGGTTCGGCAATGCAGACAAAAAGTCAGCCCATTTTTAATTTTCGGATGATTTTTTTTTAAAAATGATTTCTTTTTTTGACTTACACTAACAACATGGCTGTGAATCGAGACAAGGCCGGTTTACAAAATCAAGAGTTAGCCTCGCCGACTCAGCGATTTGGTGGCTATATTTAGCGGCTATTTTTCAAACGGGCAACAAGTGAGTTTAATTTATTTCAATTTATGTCTGTGGAAGTTGACGCTGGTGGAAAAAAAAAATAGTTTCAAAGCTTGTTTGGTATCAGGAGAAATGAAGCAAATCCCACAAGGGGGATGGAAAACAAAAACAGGCCTTGCTTTGAATAATGTCATTTCCTTTTGTTTGTTTCCATCAGTCGAGGGGAGCGATGGCTTGAAATCAGAAATCGGATTTTTGGGGGGGTGTGGGGGGGAATCGGAGGCTTAATTTCGCCCATCCAGCAGGTGTGTGATTTGAAATCAATTTTTCCTGACTTGAGCTTGATTTGGTCTTTCCCTAAGCGGGTCAGTCCAAATCTGACACCTTCATCACTGACACAGACGCATCGATTGACAGCTCCTGCCTAATCAATGGAGGCTGGAGGTCACTCACACACACACACACACACACACACACACACACACACACACACACACACTGACTCATACGTGCGTTTAGGTGTGCAAAGGAGGGAACAAGTGGAGTAGCTCAACGCACAGAGCATCTGGCGCTGATAACTTATTGATAACGATATGCAAGCTTTAATTGGGATGGTTCTTAACCGAGAACGGCGCTTACGGTGTCTGGTTTAATGAAGCTGGCACATCGTTAATAAGCGGCTCATGTAATGGCCCATTTAGGGGCCTGAGCCACTTCCTTCAAGATGGCCATTAGTGAAGTCTGACAGCTAGCATGGCTTCATTTACAAGGCTGCGTATCGTATAGACTGAGGAATCCTTGTGTCTTGAATGTCACCACCGATCATGGAATGCTCTTCTCAAGTTATTTTTCGGAGGTCTTGGAGTCATGAGTGATGCCAAAAAAAAGGATGATGCTGACTAAGTAGTATAGCAATCTTTTTTTTGAACACGCTTACTTTAGAGCAGTGGTTCTTAACCTTTTTAGAGGTACCAAACCCAACTAGTTAATATGCACATTCACCGAACCCTTCATGAGTGAAAAATACAGATAGAATTTTATACAAATTCAAGATATTAAAAGAAAAAAAAACATTGATTAAAAACAGAAAAAAGTAAATAAACATTTCAAGAGATAATTTTTTTTTTTTTTTTTAAATTGTACGACGTCACGACAGTCACACGTTGACTACAAAGCGAACTAAATTTCCCACAGCACTGATTGGACAAGCAATGTCATGTGATCATCTGCAACCAGTGATGGCCAAGCAGGCGTGTCATAACTCATTAACATGTTGAGTCGCGTGTGTCTTACCCTCCATGACAGAGGCTCCGTCGAACCCCTGAGAACGACTCACCGAACCCCTGGGGTTCGATCGAACCCAGGTTAA